GCTGGACTGTCAGGTGCACATGCCGGTAGGGCCTGAGGTTCCAGGGCATTTGTGCGGCATGTGAAGCTCTGTGTAACACGAGGAGCTGCCGTTTGTTGTCAGTGTATTGGGCCCATTAAGGCAGCTACCATTTTGTGCAGCAGATTGGGTGCATCATGCTGCAGCGGGAACAAGTACACACTGTGCTCACTCCTGCGCTTTACATTTGTTCCTTCTTTGTTCTGTTTCTGTTTATATAAATAAACCTAACTTTGCCTGTGCCTGGTGCTGACTTTTCAGTTCTCACACTTCCTCTGTTGCAAGCTGGCATGGGCAGTGCGGGCTGAAGAAGCTGAGGCAATAGGCAAAGCTAAGAAAGCCCAAGTGTCGTTTCCATGACGCGTTCAGGCCTTTGTTTTGTCTTTCCCCTTAGGCAGGCCGAGGTCTCGGCGGAGACCCCCGGGGTGCCGTAATGAGCTACAGGCGCTGTGCTGGCGATGCCAGTGTCGTGGGGGGCTCAGCACTCAGGGTGTCTTTCGCCCCACTCTGGGGCCTCTGTGGCAGTCTGGCCGTTTTGTGACCCCTGTGGGAGGGCAAATCCATACCAGACCATTTGTTGGTTTTTTTCTGTAACAGACTAACTCAGCTACCCCCTGAAGCACCTGGGTTCCTAGACTGACATCTCTGGAGGGAAGCCTTTAGCACAGTGTTTCTTAAACTTTTTAAGGTGAAAGAACACGAAACAATATATATATATTTTTATGAGGAACACCAAAAAAAAAAAGGTTGGGGGAGAAGTAATTGAGCCAAAAAAAAAAGTCACTTGTCCCTTTAAGGGTGGCCATTTTGAACTCGGTTGTTCTCCGCGGCGCACCGGTGTGCCATGGCACACAGTTTAAGAAACGCTGCTTTGGCAGGACCGAGCGCCCTGCTGTGAGGAGGCTGCCTCCTTGGGGGGAGCGCGGACCTGCCGTCTGAGGAAACATCACACACTTGCCAGGTGGAGCAGCAGTTTTCAAACTTTTTGTCTCGGGGCCCCATTGAAGAAAATGGTTGATGCCCCGGCTCAACGGAATGTGATTGGAGTGTGAGCTGCAGGGTCTGGGAGGGGGCTCTGGATTTGGAGGGGGGGCCGGGCCTGGAGCTGCTCCCA